AAAAAAAAGGATAGACTAGGCCCTGGAGGAGGACATCATGCTGGGTAACGTCATTGAGGGGCAGTGAACAAAGGAAGGCCATTGATGAGATGGAAGGACACGAGGGGTTGTAACAAGGGGCTCAGAGATAGAGCCATTGTGAGGCTGGCGCAGGACTGAGCAGTGTTGCACTCTGTCGTGTGTGGGGCCGCTGTGAGTCCAAAGCGACTCGATGGCACCTCACAGCAACAGCAGCTCCCACAGAAAGATCGGGTGGGACTGTGACAATAAGGTTCTTGTGGCCAACCTGCTCGTACTGCAAGTTCGGTGCAGGAGTCCTTGTGGGGGTGGGGCCATGGAAATAAGGGTTGTGAAAGCCTAACAAGGGGACTGATCACTTTCGCCAGCTCACTAAGCTGAGAGCCAATCCCAGAAGCAGAGTGGGTGTGAGGAGATCTTACTGCCACCAAGCAGCAGCAGCAGCAGCAGAGTGTGTCTTTGGAAGCCTGGGTCCTTGCACTAGGGACCTCCATCTATCGATCCAGGAGAGAGAGAGGATGTTGCAGCACCACCAGAAACTGTGAGTGGTGGCAGCAAACATGGCAGGGCTCAGCAGTAGCAACAGACCAGGACCCAGCATAATGCAGCGGTGGGCTTTCCAACTCCCGGAGCCCAGTGAGGCAACTGCGATGGTCTGCTCGCATACCAACTGAATAAGTATGGTGAGAGGATATAACCCTGGTGGATCCCTTTCCTAATGTAAAGCCATGCAGTATTCTGTTCTTTTCAAACCATTGTCTCAGTCCGTGTACAGGTTCTGTGTGAGCACCATGAAGTGTTCTGGAATTCTCATTCTTCTCAAAGCGATCCATAGTTTGTTTGTTTTTTCTGATCCACATAGTCGAATGCCTTTGCAGAGTCAAAAACCACGCAAATATTTTTCTGGTATTCTCTGCTCTAGCCAAGATTCGTCTGGAGGGAACAATGACATCCTTTGTTTCATGTTCTCCTCTGAATCGAACTTGAATTTCTGGCAGCTCCCTGACAGTGAACTGTTGTAATCGTTGTTGAAAAATCTTCAGCAACATTTCACTTGCATGTGACATTAATGACATTGTTTGATAATTTCTGCATTTTTTGTGCCATCTTTCTTTGGAATGGCTAAGTAGCTGTCTTCCAGATTCCTGAAAAGAGACTATTGAGTGTGTCCAGCGCTTCACCTGCTTACTGAAACATTTCAATTGATAGTCTGTCAGGTCAAAGCTCATGGCTTTCCATGGGGAGTTGAGATGTGACTCAAGGTGAAGGATGCCTCACAAAGGGGTAGGCCCAAGCCTGCCTCCAAGGTACTCTGCAAGTGCGGTGGGGCTTGGGAGAGCAACTAGAATGAGAACCTGGCCTGGGATGGTGGGGGTGGGGGGCTGCGAGGAGCCTGGGAGACTTTGGACAGGAAGTCAGGAAGTCCCTGAACCAGTTAAACTAGAAGGCTGCTCCTGATTGGTCAGGAAGCCCGGAGCTTTGTGAGGTCACTAGGCCTTCAGGTCAGGCTGGGCAGGAGGATGGTGGAGATGCTGCCAACTGCCATTCTGCTGGTTTTGGCAGTATCTGTGGTCGCCAAAGATAACACCACGTGTGAGTAAGTGTCTGGTGCACCTGGAGTGGGTCAGAGTGTCTTCTGATGAATTGGCCCCACCCATGCTCCCTCTGCCCAGGGCTGGGGGAAGGGACAGAGTTTGGACCTTAGCAGTCTCCTGGCTCTCTGGCTCCTGAGGCCACCCCCATCCCCAACTCAGACCCTTCCCTGGACACAGCATTGATAGATCTGGGGCCCTAGCCCCCCAGTTGTCCTGGTTTGCTTCTGAGGTGGTTCCCTTGGTTCCTGGAGCTCCCAGGGTCCCCGGAGATGCTCCTCCAGGAAAGATCCACTCCTTCTTGGACACCAAGAACTGGTTCCCAGAACCCTTGTCCTCACATAAAGAGCTGAGAGCCCCTACCTGTAGGTGATCCTAAAGGCCCCAGAATACCAACCTCTATGACCTCAGCCCACCTGGAGACCCCGGTGCTTCAATGTGCCCCACACCTGCATGTTGCCTATCTACCTATGGCTACTCTCCCCCCCGCCCCCCCACTGTCTAGCCCACCCCGGCAGACCCAACTTCCCCTAGTCCCCTGGCTTGTCCCCAGTCTACATCTAGATTTGGCTCTTAAGACTCCAGGGCACTATACCCTCCACTTTCAGAGCCTATACCCCTACCTCTAGTCTCCCTCTCTGCCTAAGGTGCTCCCATACTTCTAGGACCTGACAGCCCACCCTACAGCCTGTGTCTTGATCCTCTTTTCCCACCTGGTGATTCTACCCACAAACCCCAAGAAATCATAGGCCCTAACCATTCCTGAGAGCCTCGGGACTACCTCTCCTGCCCAAGGAATGCCAGCTAGCTCTTTGAGTGACCAGCTAGCTCCATGTGTCACCTACTTCCCCTCCTGCCCCCCATGGAGGTACAAGGACGGTGCCCTGTCCTGCCTTGACTGTGGCGGTCTCTCCTCAGTGGCCCCTGTGGGTTACGGTTCCGGCAGAACCAGCAAGGGGGCGTGCGCATCGTGGGAGGGCAAACCGCGCCCATTGGGGCCTGGCCCTGGATGGTCAGCGTCCAGTTCTTCACCTTCTACAACAGCCGGCGGTACCACTCGTGCGGGGGCATCCTGCTGAACTCCCACTGGGTGCTGACTGCCGCTCACTGCTTCGCCAACAAGAAGTACGCTTGGGGACAGGAACTGGAATGTTCTCCAGGGGCCTCTCTCCACTCCCCGTGGGGGTGGTCTGGGCCAAGAGTTGACCAGACGAGGGTGGGCTGACAGGGCCCTGGCTGGGGGAGGGGCTCAGGTCCAACTGGCCTTCACGTGGCCCCCCTCTGTCCACAGCAAGGTGTACCACTGGCGACTCATTTTTGGGGCGAGCGAGGTGATCTATGGGCACAACATGCCCGTGAAGCCACCGATGCAGGAGCGGTTTGTGGAGAAGATTGTCATCCACGAGAAGTACAGCTCTGCCCTGGAGCAGAACGACATTGCCCTCCTGAAGGTCACCCCGCCTGTGCCCTGTGGCTCCTTCATCGGACCAGCCTGCCTGCCCCGTTTCAAAGCAGGGCCCCCCACCATTCCCCAGGCCTGCTGGGTGGCTGGCTGGGGATATGTACGTGAGAGCGGTGAGTGTTGGGCCTGGGGGGAGGGGGGCGGTTGCCTGTGGCCTCACTGAGCCATCTCAAGTCCCAGAATAGCTCTATGAGGAGTGGCTAGCTTGAAGTGGGAGTCCCCTGCAAGAGGCTGCGTCCTGCTACCTGGCCGGGCTGCCTGAGGGAAGGAGTTTGCATGGGGCCCACGGCCCAGCTGCTGGAATCTGGGAACTAGGAGGCCCTGAAACAACACATGGAGAGCAACCCTAGAGGGCTCTCGGCCTCAGTTTCCTCATCTGTATGCAGCAGGGCGAGGCCAGGGTCTCCAGGATGTACCACTCTCTGGCGTCCAGCTCCCAGCCTCTCCACTACTGTCTCCCACCGAGCACTCCTCCACCCACTGGGGCTGCGGTCCCACCTTTGGCCAGCACGGCCTCCACCATTGGGCTCACCTGAGCACTAGGAGAGGGAAGTGGCAGGTGCGTGTCATGGTGTCTTAGACTCCTCAGAACTGAGCTCCCATGGGTCCTTGACATTGGAGGTAGGCTGTGGCTGTATCCCCAGACCCCTGTCCTTGGCCATTCAGTCTCCTGCCTGGGCACCCAGAGACCCTCCTGCCCACTTACCCAGACCTCTCTGGGCACCAGATGAGTAGGAAGTGAGTAGGGCGATTCTTCCACACTGGCCTGGCTTCCCAAAGAGGCCCAGGTGTAACCTAGTGTCACTGTCCTTGTTGATGCATGGGCATGGCTTTGAGTCCTGGACACCTGTGCCCAGCCCCACCCCCATCTAAAGACCAGGGACAGCAAGTACCCTATAAAGGGCCATTTTCTCACGGTCACACAAGGAGTGTGAAGATATGACTGAAACTTTCTCAGTACTCAGTGTCTCTTTTGCTGCTGATGGTGGAAAACGTAGGTTTGCCTAATTCAAGGCAATTCAGTCATTTGGGGGTCTAAAAATAATTTTTTAATCAACAAATTTTAAAAACTTGTGGAATCTATGAAGCTTTCCAGTCAGCAGTTCATCTGCATTTTGCCTGTCACCATTGGTTGCGCTCCGCGTAGTGTAGTATCACCTCCCCGCTTCCTCCCTGTTTCCTGCTACACTGTGCCCCTGGGTCAGGGCTTCCCTTTTAACTTCAACTGGTCATTCTGATTGGTGTCACCCCGACACAGGGTGAATTCAGTTTCTGAGTTGAAGGCTGACTACGGGTCATTAATAATCTTGGGGGTTCCGCCCAGTCTCTAGCTGACCCGGATGCCTGCCATCTTTTATAAGGTGGGCTTCTGTCCCACACTGTCTCCTGCCCCTCTGTCTGGGATCTTCTAACATGACTCTGTTTAGAGCACTTGGGGGTGGTAGCCAGGCGCCACCTTGTTCTGCTGCTCTCGGGAAGTGGGGCTCGTGTGTGTCTGGAGGACCAGTGAGGAGGGCACAGCCGTGCTGGGTCCTGGGCTGCCTGGGTGGGCCACAGCCTCAGAATGGAGGCTGTGAGGACGTTCTGACTTGACCTCATGGGCCATTTCTGTCCTTCCTGCCTCCGCTAACTGG